ACACACACACACACACACACACACACACACACACACACACACACACACACACACACACACACAAAGGACATTTGATCCTTATTAAATCAAAATGGAGCATGAAATGCCTGGTGATCAGGGCACAAAACTCCAGCCTTGTTTGATTGTTCTGATTACGACAATCTGATGCAGCAACACACAAACATCTCCACGTTAACTCAAAGAAGCACTAAGCGTCCCGCGAGGGAAAACTGCTAATATTGTTCCTGGCCAAATGTTCAGCAATAATAAAACAACAATTACCATTCATCATTCTCTCATTTCCCCCATCATTACTGCAGTTACCATCAGCACCAGGTAACAAGAAAATGTGGTGTGCGGCTTAATGTGATTTACAGAGATGAATGATGTATAGAACACATGAGGCCTGTAATGAGCCACACAATATAAACCATACTGCACTGGAAAAGCCGTGTGCACGCACCACAGATATGGTTCGTTCCAAGGAGTGAAAAAAAAAAGAAGACACGACTGACCAGAAAGCATAAAAGTTATATTTGTACATGATAATAAACAGAAACAAAAAATAAAAATATACAAAACAGAAGCTTAAAAATAAGCGGAAAGTACATGGCTGCAGTGGCGTGCAGTTGTTCAGCTTCTGCCAACAACTGTCAACAACAGCTGCTCGTGGCGCTGTCACATCTTAAAGATGTTTAAATGTTTAGGTAGGGCCTGATTATACTTCACTGCAGACGCAGATGTATTTACTACAGCTCCTGCTCAGATGAATTGCTTCACATGTTGCATAAATGTACAGAATCAGCGGAAAAAAAGGTGTATTTTTGCACATGCACAGAATACAGTGACCCTCATTGTTGTGGACTTTGGGCTTGAACTTTGCAGACTGTTAACAAGCACAAAAAGAGCCTTATGGTGTAAAATAAGCACATTATCTAGTAAAGTGTCCTGGGAGTATGTTTTGTTATATCAATAAAACTAAACTGAAATGGTTATATCATTTTCAAGCCTGAACGTTTCTGTAAACTTAATGCCAAAGTATGCAGCAGCTCCAACACCTCTCAGTATATTTTTCTGCTCATTGTTGCCATTACCTTGTAAAGCGACAATTTTATGCAGCAACATCCACACAAAAAGCAGCCACAAAATTCTACGAGACTGCATAGAAAAATCTGAYTGGCCGAGTAGTTTCCAACAGTCACAGCCCAATGAGATACTACCTCAATTCATCCGTATTTTGAGAGGGTTCAACACTAAATAAAAGAAAGACATTAATAAAGGCTTAAAGGCTACACTTACTCCAGTCTTGTCACAGAGCCGCAGGGTGTTGAAGGAGCCCACGGCGAACACCTCCCCATCTGGAGCCCAGGACAAGGAGGTAACAGGGTAGTCATGAGACGCAGACGAGTGAAGAAGACGTCCAAAGCTGTCCCAGACCTTGTTGAGGGAGGATGTAGTTTAAATTCAACAACCTTGAAGACATCCAAGAGCATTTCCTAAAAGGTTTACATGCCATAAACAGAGTAGATCCACGTCATATTTTACTCGTTTAAGCTTAGGCAACTTTAATATTACCCAAAAAGGTTTTCCACAACTTGGTAGATTTAATATTTAAAACGGTTCTAAGTAGAGTAGATTTTGTTTTTATGAATAAAATAAATTGAATTAAAAAATTAAACCTCTCTCAGCACACAGATACCAGGACAACAGAGCTCACTTGTGCAAATAAATGAGAGAACTAAACATTTGCTAATAACCTAAAACAAATAAGTTGAGTTATTCATTTTAATGCCTTTCTTTTTTGAAACAACAAGATGGCTAGAATTTATTCGACAAGAAATGTTCACTGTCATAGATAAACAAAGACTAGACTGTGAAGAAAACATCACATTTGTTTAGAATTAAGGAATTTCCCAAAATGTCACATTTCTTCAAGAAATTAAAAAGAACTTCAGTGTGGCTCTTTACGAACATGATCAGACCTGGCTTCCAACAGTTCAGATGGACAATGTTGATTACAGGTGAGACACATCCATCATCATTAGAACATGTAAAGATTTGATTTCTAAGGCCGTAGTCACAGGTGTTCAGAGACACTTGTTGCCACATTCATACAGCAGTGGAAACATGAATGTGCCCCGGGCTGCAGTTAGGGACCACCCACTCACTTCACAAAACTCAGCGGCAAATAGTTTCCGTGAGGATGTTTTCTCTTTCGCTGGTTTCTGGAAACAAAAAAATACAATCCACAAAAAGCAAAATCCAAACACGTGGGGCGAACAATTTACAGAAACCTTCCAGCTTGTCTTTTTGTGTAAATTTCAAGGAATGAGTGCAGCGACAAGCTCTGGAGCTGTGGAGTAGTTGTTCAGATTTTTAAAAAATGGTTTTGTCATGAGCAAAAGCTGCAGTGTGTTGTATTCGACTCAGCAGATTTGCACTGCAGCATCACAAATCAATGATTTAAAGCACCTTTGACCACTCGAACGTGAGTGAGGCAAATTTGAAGTGTGCTAAATGTGTCAATAAATCTGTGTTTGCTGCACAACTGAGTGTTCACATGAGTTTGACTATAATTTGGCATGTGAACACATCCGAACACAATGTCTGAGCACTTCAGAGTTGTCCATTTGTGATTTGATTACCAAGAACATATAAATACCAGGTCTGACGTGTCTTATTTAGTCTGTGAAAGACAGCAGCAACTGCTTCCCTTACAATAGTTTCCCTGGGTGAGAGGGAAGACTTTATTCTGATCAGGAACTCCTCCACCTGAGGCAGAACCTCKCTCCCATTCTGGGGAAGGAGAGTCCATCTTTTTTCAACTGAGGACCAAACATCCAAACATGTAGATGTCATCTTTTTATCAAGCATAAAAATATATAAATTTGTGTTTTATTTATGTAAAACAAGCCATACTAACTAGGGTTTCAAGATGATTAAAATGCATCCATAATGGTCCTCCTGGCCTGGGGCGGGGCCTTCATGGTTGGAGTTTGCATGTTTGCATCCTGTGCGCATATGAGTTTTCTCTGAGTACTCTGGTTTCCTTCCACAAACCAAAATCATGCATGTTAGGTTAACTCTAAATCGTCCTTATAGGTGTACGTGAGAGTGGGAATGGTTATCTCTACGGGTCCCTGTGATGGACTTGTGACCTGTTCACTGTGTCCCCAGTCTCTCGCACAGTGACTGCTGGAGACAAACATCAGCTGCCCGCGATTTGAAAAGGAAAAGTGATTAAAGAAAATACTTGGATGGATGAATACTTGCATTGAAGCCCTCTGAATTGTATCAAATATTGAATTGCCTAAACATTTCCACCTCTATTGGTTGTGTCACACTTTGAGTGTTGTTTGCTTTGCATCGTAGCATTGATCCTCTTTAAGGAGGTGTTTTATATGACAAAGCTTTTAAACTGTTGATCTTTGTATGTTTTATACCACAGTTGTGTGTTTGCATGTGACATGTTTAAAAACCTTTTTAAAAATAGCTTCAATTTTTTTTCCAAACTCCAGAACTCTGCTCATCAAATTATTATTATTTTTTAAAAAGGCCATTGTATATTCAGAAGTACTAACCTTATATTTACAGTCTTCTCCACCTGACAAGATGAGGTCATTGACTGAATTCCAGTCCACCTTTAGAACAAGTCCATCGTGAGCTTTCCACTGCCAAGACAGGTGAACATGCTGAATTTTAGTTTTATAATATAATAACATTTTTACTGTTATTGAAGAAAAAATTGTTTTAATCAGAAGTCATTGTAAATAACTGGGATAAAGACAAGAGAAACTGGCATTTATTATGAAACTTGATTTCAGCCAAAGAAATTTGACCAAAATCTTAAAACTCTGATAGAAAAGGCAGTGGGCGATATGCATTCCTTTAAGGAATGCTAGGTCTTAAATTATAAACTGACTTTTCATTGTTTTAAACCATATTTGGTTCCTCTATGTGAATAATTAAACCTGCAAAGCTGTAGTTCTGTTTGGGTATGAGAGATAATGTTTTTAGGGGTTTCCTGCCAATGGTGATGGTGACTTCCATCATTTGGTTGGTCTCCAAGGGGGTGTGAGGGAAAGGGAAAAGTGATAAAGTTGCATTTTTGAGTAAGTGTGTGTGTGCGCGCACGAGTGCTTGTACTAGTGTGTCTGGTAATGGTTGAGAGAAAGCAAAGCTCACATTAAACCCTCCCCTGTTTATCCAAGGTCCCAGGTGCTGTTCAGCTTCGAGAGGAATAATAAACAAATGTATACATGAACAAGAAAAATCCTCACCGGTGTAGAAGGTCATCTACAGAGTAATATGTTTGTACTGAGTGTGCATAGTCATTAATTTACTGATCCATCAGGGAGGCTGAAACTTTGCCACAGTAAAGAATGATSTCTATTTATTTTCTGGCTGCAGAGAGTAAAAGACGGACAGAAAAGGCAACAGCTCCACTCAAGTTCCTGCAAATCCATTATTGGATGAATGCACTGGATCCCACAGCTGAATGTTGGCTTTCACATGTGGCACACAGCAAAATAATAGCTGCCTTCTAAGCAATAAAGCTAAATAATAACCTGCAGCATAACATCACAGCTCGGACTGGAAGTTCAGATACTCGGTGGATAAAACAACAACAAACTAAGTTGTTTCATTTAAAATTACCGCACAAGTCGCAGCTTTTAAGATAAGATAAGATAAGATAAGATAAGATAAGATAAGATAAGATAAGATAAGATAAGACTTTATTGATCCCACAGTGGGGAAATTTGCACATTACAGCAGCTCAAAGCTTTTATGAAACTGCTAATATATTCACTGGTTCTTGGTAATTTCCACATTGAACGGACACATTTGGTAATCATCAACAACAATCTGGCAGAGTTCAAGTTGAATATTCGACTGCTCTTCTTGGCTAAATTTGAATCCGTTAGTTTGCTAGCCAAGCCCAACTTAAGTAAATTTCACTTTTCAAGAGAATAGAAGATAGCCCTTTGTAAAAAGGCCACTTTGAAAGCTTCTTTGTGGTGTTTTTATCCATTACACAGCCAGTTTTATATGTTTGTGGTCCATTTCTCTCTCCATTACTCCCTTTATGTTTAAGAGATCTGAGGAGAAGTCCTCCATTTTTTTAAATTAACTGGAAGTTAAGGTTGTAGCTCAGTGGGCTAGACTAAATGGTAACTCAAAAGGGTGAGAAATGTGTGAGAAAAAGGCAAATTTGAACCTGTATGACTTTAGCACTGGGTTGCAGGGGTTTGATGATAAGCTGCCGTCCTGATGTGTAGAGTATTCTGTCCGAATCTGGACTCCAGACTACAGAATATACAGGAGACCCTGAAAGAAAAGCAGAAAAAGACCAAAAACAGAATCTGATTTTAGCAAGACAAACTGTYTTTTCTGTGAAAATGGTGTAAATGTTGAGTGCTGGAAGACTTCACTGAAATAGATGAAATTTTAATTGTAAGGTTAAAAGAAAAAAAAAAAACAGAATACTAGCTAATAACCAAGTTGGTAGTAGAAAAAATCTAGTTAAAAGCCTCAAAAGGGCAACAACAAGTAGAAAAGGTTAGCTTAAAAGCAAAAAGTATCAAAATGGTAGCTAAAAGCCAAGAGTAACAAATCAGTAGCTAAAAGCAGAAGCATCGTCAATAGTGGGGTGGGTAGGAGCGATGGGCACCCCAAAAAAGTTGGTGTTGAAATGTGGTTTCACACATGTGAAGAGAAGGGCGTGCTGACATTTAACCTCACTCCAGGTGCATGTGGTTTCTCACAAATGTCAACTGGTCACGTGATCTAAATCAGACGACGGCAACGAGAGGAGTCGAGACAAGTTCCTCTTCCCTTCATCTCGCTCCATTCCAAACCTCTTCCTCGACTCAAAATGGGTCACAGCACCTGAAACAGTGAGCTCCTGCAGCAGGGGGCATGTGTGTTTACGGCTGAGAAGCAACACCTGCAGTGATCCGCGTGCCATGTGGTGACTGCTGTGCGCCTAAAAAGCAATGCTGTCAGGTGTCCTATAAATCTGCCAGTCTTTTGAAGATCCCAAATTCTAGAAAACTTACACGGATTATTTACAGCATGTTTGAATAATACATTATATTGTATATAAGATGGTCGGCCAGTTTTTCACAGCTCCATTTATAGTGAACTAACCATATTCCAAAGAGAACATTTTCCACCTTTTTCCTTCATCTTTRGAGTTTGTCTCAGAACTGAGAAAGAATATGATCAAACACAATGAATCAATTAAAAAGTAAGTCATCTTTAATGGGAAATGCTGAAGAGAGAGGCACGACATTAGAAATATTTTTGTCAGCTTTTAATTAAGCGTTTTAATAAAACTACCTCGTAAAACGTTAAAACTTAATGGCACTTTTATTAAAGACAATCTCTAGAACTGGAATGCGCTCTCAGCTTTTCTTTCACTAACCACAAATACAACCTAACAGATCCAACACTCACCATTTGCGTACAATTACATTTGCCACACAGTGAAGGAAAGAGGGTTTCCTTCTCATTTTTCTCTTTGCATCCATTTACAGATGGTTCAGGGTGTAAAAATTAAGACACAGCTGTAATAAGAGAACACTCAAATCCACCTGTAGCTAACTGAATATCAGTTGTATTTACAGGACAAAAAAACTTTAAATGCACCCCTCCCCCAGCAACATTACATTTTTAAGTTTCACCACCTAAGAACTAGGAACTGAAGTTGCAAGAATTGCTAGTTTTACATCCGCACTATAATAATCCATTTGTTATCTTGCTTTGATAAAATATAGTTATATGTTTTTAGCCTTACCCTGGCTAGCTAACGTTGAGCGCAGCATCCCACTTTTTGACCAGATCTTGATCTGTCCATCTTCTCCAGCTGGGTAATCACAGAAAATAAAAAATGACATTAAAGGAAAATTACATCTAACTTATCATTTTATTTAAAAAAGCAAATGGTTCCATTGGTTTCAGTGTCATATTTACCTGTGATAAGAGCAGTTCCATCATAATTCCACCTCCCAGCCAGAACAGCACCCTTGTGTGCATCGACACTCTTTTCGATGCGTCCCATCTTGGAGACCAGGTGAAACTTCCCTTTATTAAAAATAAATATATAAACAAACACAACATACAGTTCAACTTTTGAGAATTTATAGCACAGGCCTCAACCTCAAGTCTTCAATCAAAAATAGACTATGATGTAATTCACTGGGTTTCTTAAGCCATGCTTTTTAACTCAGCTTGACTGCATATTTATATGTGTGTGCGATTACAACAGCTTTTTAGATCAATAGCTTTTTATGATCAGATCATACAGAAAAATGTTCGCCAAACTTAAAAATAAATATTATGAATAGTAGAAATAAAAGCCTAATAACCATCCCTCCCATTACACACAATTTGCAGCTTAGCTAAGTGTGTGAAATGGGATTAGCTAAGTTTTTCCAATCAGTTAAAACACAAACCCAATGCATGAAGTTGATGATTAAAACTAAAGAGTTTCTGTTACTGAAACTAATTTTCAATTTTCCAGACCTTGAAGGAGTGATCAGGCATGGAGGTGGGTAATGAAGATGCCTTCCCAACATATACTTTGCGGCAGTGTGTATTAAAAATTCTGAATGTTCTGTGTAATTTCTGGCGACCTGTAATTGCAATTCAGCTTGCTGCTGCGCTCTCATTTCTAAATTTGGACATCCCAACAAAAGTGTATGTTACAGATCCAGCAGGTAGCATAACAGTCATGTGCAACTAAATTAAGTTACTTCTACAAGAAACAGCTTCGGGTTTAGTGCATTTTATACAATTTAAATTAACCTAAACAAATACAATTGCAGTATCAGGTAAACTGTCCAAAATGCAGGAAGTGATGATTTGTTTGCATCTCATCTGAGAAATCTTTTAAACTATATATA